CCCTCCTGACTGGGTTCATTGTTTCAGAGCAAACACTTTTTACAGTTCTCAAGCAAAACTTATTACCTTATAGCATGTGATAAAGATGTTACAAGTGAGATTAATGCAAACAGCAAATACAAACATCTCAGAGTCTAAACACATGGTTAATAAAGTTCAGCACCTGTTTTAACCATACGAACAAGGGTGAAACAGACTTGTTTCCAGCAATGAATTTGCAAGTGCTCTGCTCAGGCCTAAAGCCTTGGCAAGAGCTGGTAAGTGGTCTGCCAACATCACAATTACTCTTTCAAAATAAAAGAAATACACAGAAACCTGTTGGAGAACACTTTAACCTGCCTGGGCACTCATTAATGGATCTCCAAATCACTGTGTTGCTTCAGGACAATTCCACAAGTCAAATACACAGGGAAGGGTTGGAACTTAACTGCATTTACAAGTTTAATTCTTATGCAAATGGCACGAACAGAGACATCTGCTGGTTCACACACTGCCTTCTGCATCCTAAAGATTTAAGAACAATTAGCACCTCCATTGGTTGGTTATCAGCCTCTTGTAACTACTTGAACAATCTACTCACTGTCTTTTTTTTCCCCCCTTCTTCCCCCATCCTCTTCCCTTATTTATTCTTGGATCTGGACTTCTAATATTCCAGTCATGTGGAGAAACGGGTTGTACCCACGAAAACTCATGATACCATCTACATGTTTTGTTAGCCTTTAAGTTGCTACTAGACTATTCATTGTTTTTAAAAGTTTTTCCTGTTACAGACTAACTCGGCTACCCTTCTGAATCTTTCAAAGTAGTTTTTCAACCAGTTGAACACACATCTTATCATAATTTCATCTAGATTCCATTTCTCCAGACTAGGTGTACAAAACAGCTTTTTCTGATTTTTTTTTTTTCCAGAACAGGCTTTTCCAAAATTTGGCCTATCTACACTAGGTCAAATTTCGGAAATCCCCCTCTTTTGGAAGATCCATTTTCCTCATGGAATGAGGAAGACAGGGCTTCTGAAAGAGAGTGTTTGCACTTCCGCAAAAAAAAAAAAAAAAAAAAAAAAAAACAGGGGGGGAGAAAAAGCGTTCCCTGGAACTGGGA